TCCTCATGAAACGGCCGTCTTGATGTAAACTATATCCGTGTTAGGTATTAACAAAGAGTAATTTCTCTATAGTCCCCTGTAATGTTTAGATTTAAATGTTATTTCGTCTTTGCATAGTGATAAGCGTGTACATATTGTATAGGTTCTTTAATTAACAAGTGTTTACGGTCTAGGTGGTATTTAATGTTTCACTTAAGGATTTTTTAATAATTTTATATATTATATTCAAATTCGAGGATACTTCGATTATATAATAGATAAGGCATGTGAGAAAACATTTCGCACTCTATGGATGTAGAGATGGTGTTGTAATGGATTTTTTGATTCATATTCAAATTAATGTCGAAAATTCGAAACAAAAAAGTGTTGATTTTTCAACGATATAAGTATATAAAATAATTGAATTGCCTTTTTTTGTATTTGCAGGTTATAACTTAATTGATCGATGACTTTTATCTTATTGAAAAATCACCGCTCAATAAAAAACAACTACCATTTCTTTATTTAACAAGGCCATCTCTCATCATTATGTACATAATAACCGTCGTATATGTATTGCACTTTTAAGTAAAATTATAAACATTTAACTCCTTTAATCATTTTCAATGTAAACAATTAAAAAAATACTGAATTTGTCTATTGTAATGGCAGTAATAAAATGGCATTAAAGAATTTGTAAATATTAAATGTTTAAAGCAAAGAATAATTAAAATATTATTTTAACTTCGAGGCCATTATGATTCTATATAATATTTCTAATGAATGCGCTTAGCGATAGCGTGCGTACTCGCCTTTCACTCGATAGTAAAAAACAGAAAGTAAATGCAACATTGAGTATTTGTTCCGCGATTTCGCGATGTTAATTAACAACAATTATTTGTACTATTTATTGCTCTTAACAGTCTGAAAAGAATATCAATAAAAGTGTAAATTTAGTTTTTATGTGGATTGGATTTTTGAATTTCAAATCAAGAATAACTAACTGTATGTACATAAATTTATCTTGATTCTTGAAACCTTTTCACGTTAAAGTTTCTCACCTCTAGCTCTAGATGTAAATCTTGAATGAATCCTAATACTTTTTAAGAATTCTAAGTAAATTAAGCTAAATACAGTCTTTATTTATAGTATCTAATACATTAGAGTTAAAAACTTCCGCCCATCGACGCGCATCACATATTTTGTGATATCCATTTATATTAGTAATCATTTCGTCCAATTTTAGTCCATTTTATTTTTGTATACCAACCTTTTTAGCCTTTATCGAAAATGTAGCGCACTGTTTTTGCCTGAGAAGGACTCGATATTCAGGTTTTGAGCGGCGTTAAATAATTTTTAAATAGTCATCAAAATTACATTTTTAAAAGTCCATTCGTCCTTGTTCAGGTGCTCAAGTCACAAATTTTCCTCACATTATCTATAATAAATATAATATTATATAATATCTCCTTTGTAGATTGTCATATAAATCTAAAAGGATTTGCTAAAACCGAGTAAACGTTATCTTATCTATCAAGTGTTTGAACATTTACGTTATATTCTTCCCAAGGTTCAATTAATCCTGACAGGTTCTATAATTAAATTGGTTTAAATAATAATAAAATAAAGTGAATAATAAAATAAAAGTGAAACTACAGAGTAATAAAAAAACAACATACTTAGTTTTGAAAATTGCTGATTTAACATCTACATTAAATAGACTATACCTAATGTCCCACAATTTAAAGGTATGGACTATAGAGAATAGAGGTAAGGCGGACTGTGTCTTTGTTTATGGAAAAGTGTTCGTCGAAAACAATTAAGTTCATAGCTCGTGCATACAAGAGTGTAAATTAAAACTAAATTATTTTTGACTACGTGAGTGGTTTATTGTATAGCGAGATTTCATTAAATACTCTAGACGCCAAAAATATTAAATATTACAACTCGGTACACTTCACTCAGTTTATAACTGCTAAGTTCATATTATTAAACACACTTTTCTGTTCATTTCTTGAGCTATTATATAATGTTTTGAGCTGGACACTTTATCAGTTTGACCCCCATATGAGATGGTCCTTACCTTTAGCCTCCATAGTATGGTTTATTATTGGTGATGAAATTTCTTTGGTGGTGTTTTCGGAACTCCCGTAACAATTCTTTATTGTCGCGTTCGTTATTATTGTTGTATTTAATTTACTCTATTGTCTTTGGATATATTATAAAGTTAGTTCTGAGAAACGCCAATAAGGAATTTACTCACCCTTAAAAGATTGTAATAAATAAACTTATATTTAATAGTTAATGCAGTGATGTTATGTTGAATGGTAGACTTCATTTAAATAAAAAGGACTAAGGACATACAAATATTCATTATTATAATATTCCTCCTGATTGATCCCTCTCAATTAATTGTGAATAGATAAGGTATTCTAAGACAAATTATCTCATTTGAATACAACATTATTTTTATATCGTCATTGTATTTGATAAGGTTTTTTATTGTTCATCCCTTTCCAGTTCTTTCTTAGCTTATCTTTAGGTATAAACCCTATTGTTGAGTATATAATATGTTTCTGTTACTTGATTTAGTCGTGTTTTAAGCAAAATTTTAGAGATGCGAAAATGTCAGTTATAAAGATTTTTAAGATTTTTATAGTAGGGGAGCCCAAGAGGGGATTTTTGTAGTTACTCAAGCGCGGCAAATTAACATAAAAAAGGTTACCTTGCACTCTATTGAGTACTTTCACCATAATATAAGTCTTCTATATAAAGGCGCGCGTCTAGGGAAGCCGATCAAAATATTTAAAAAATGTTTTGATAAGGTAGAAATACTTGAAACCGTCAGATTAAGGTGTGGTAGGCTAGTCACATCCTGAAAAGTGTCCAATTCAATAATCTGCCAATTTGCACAAGCCGAAGAGACAAAAATCGACTATAAAGTTTATGATGATTTTTGCCTCTTCCGCTTGTGCAAATCGGCAGATTATTGAATTGGACACTTTTCAGGATGTGACTAGCCTACCACACCTTAATCTGACGGTTTCAAGTATTTCTACCTTATCAAAACATTTTTTAAATATTTTGATCCGTTTCCCTAGACGCGCGCCTTTATATAGAAGACATATTATGGTGAAAGTACTCAATAGAGTGCAAGGTAACCTCTTTTATGTTAATTTGCCGCGCTTGAGTAACTACAATAATCCCCTCTTGGGCTGCCCTACTATATTACTTACTTGAAACCCTTGTTTTATCGTAAAAATGTGGAGATAGCAATTTTTAACTCATGTATAAATATTTTTTACTTGTCAAATTCCTATTTGTTTCATTGATATAGATATATTGAGAGCGTATAAGATAATCTCTTATATGAGGAAATTTATATGTTTTATTTTCAATAAAATATAATGACGTTATAATGCTGAACTAGAGCATAGGTATCTCGCTTTCTTAAACTATTATTTACCCGATAGCTCCCAAAGGGAGGGTAATGTTTTTTATTCAATGGTAATGTTATTATTTAAAAATATGATGTATCTACATTATTATAAGTCTCCATGATTCTCGTCGAATGTGAATACCTATGTTCCTGTGTATATGTATGTAAGATATATTACATTTCAATAAACAAAACTACAAATCATTATACTGTACAAGTACGTTATGTTATAGGCATCTGTAATACAATTATTTGTTGTATTTATAAGTGACATAGGTTTGAGGATTTTATTTAATTATAAAAAACTGATGTTTATAAACTTCTTGTCAAATAAACGATTTTCATGATCGTTAGTAAGTTTTTTTATTCCTTTCCCTTATATATTTTAAAATTGGTAAAGGGTTTATATTTTACAACTATTTTTTATTGTTTGTAGAAAAGATGATATGCCTTTTACTATAAAATATACTTATGAATTAAGAATATAGTATATTAAATTTATTGCATGTATTACTTATTTTAACATATTAAATAAATTTAATATGAATAAATAAAGCAGGAAATTTAATGTATTTAACAATAAGTACCTAGGTAGGTGTACCTATAACCTAGGTACCTATATTAAAATTTAAGCATTCTTGGAATTTCGAAATGAAATATTTATTATTCCCTTATTTATTTCACTACGAGTATACATGAAGATAAAAACAATTGATCGACCTTAATGTTTAATAGCATGTACCTATCTACCACGTTTTTTATGGTTTTCTGTGGAGTAAGTTCAAAGTCCTACTGCCATCTTACGGAATCTTTTTCAACTAAATATATCTTACTTTCAATTATTTCAATAGATGGCGTTATAAATTTGTCAGATATGAGGCACCATCTTACGATTTCTATCAATATCACTTCCGCTAGTAAGAACGTTTGTTAATTAATTTAGTAATTTGTGTATAGATGGCGTTGTAAGGGAATTCAATAATTTATAATTAAAAAAAATAATAAGAATGACACAAATAAAATTGTATCTAGTACTTTTATTTGTGATAAAATGAATTTATATATTATTTAAAAATAAAATAAAGTGACAATTTCGTACAATTTAACTCACTTTTTACTTACTAATTGTAAGTTACTTAGTGTTCATTTACTTTACTAGATGGCACTGATTATGCGAATGCAGCCTTTATTGTTTTTATTTTAATATTAAAAAAATATTCTATTCTAGTGGATATAAAAATTCCTTATTATCATTAGAAAATTGCTATTTTCTAATGATAATGAATAATGATGTATTTATTAACTGTATCTATGGATCATAGATGAATAATAAACTCTGACGTTAATCATCTATGTGAATTCAGAATTGTCAATGTCAAACTTAATGGTGTTTTGATTTCATTTTTCATTTTGTAACGTTTAACGAAATCGTTTTTTTTTTATTTTTCCTTATCGTGTTTGAGCTTTAATAGTGCTCAGTGTAAAAAATAAACTTTATTCAATAACCTCAATATGTGTATAACGTAATTTGAATATCTATCAATATTTGATTTGTTTATGTTTACATCACAAATTTGTTATCATGGCAAATTTAAATGTTGGGCAAACTATATCAAAATACGAACATTTTATTAACGATGTGCTAAAAGAAGATCTTCGTTTATTGGAATCAAAATTGCAGTACATAAATGCTGAAATATCTGACTTGATACAACAGCGACACGCGTTGAAAGTACTTACAGATAAAAATCTAAATCCAAATGGTTTTAAAACACAACTTAACTTAGGTTGTAATTTTTTTATGGAAGCATCTGTAACTGATACATCAAAACTTCTCATAAATATTGGTTCTAACATCTTTTTAGAGTTTACAATTGATGAAGCATATAAATATTTAGACGCAAGAATAAAAGCATATGAGCAAAAATCAGAAGAGCTTCGCAATAAAGCTGTGGAAACCAAAGCTCACATTAAATTGATGTTATTTGGTATTGATGAACTACAAACTCAAAGCAACAATGTGTAACACAGTTAAAACATCATTATTTAATACTGGAATTAGTAGTGTTAACTTTTAAGTGTCAAATAATGTTTTTCATTACATACTTTTAATTTATAAGTAGTTCTTTTTATAATATTGTATTGAATATATTTTGTATTTTATTTTCCTGTACTTATATATTAAATAATTAAAATAAATAAATACCTGCAAAAAAGGATCATAAACTTTCCCAGCCATATTTTACTATAGGAAATTTTAAAATAAAAATTATAATAATATTATAATAATTGTAAAAATTATTTTTACATTATGTAAATATAAATTTTATTATGGTCATACATTCTTTTTAAATGTTGTCAATTTTTAAACGACCTACTGAGTCCTAAGGATATGAGCCTATACTTAAATTTTCAAATAAAAATAAAATAGTTTTAAATCAAATTAAATATAATTGAATTGAAAAAAATTAATATGATATATTAATAAAAATTGGTTATTTTAACTACAGCAAATTACAGATGGTTAATATATGGACAATATACAAAAAATAAGTTAATAGTGTTATAATATAGATAAAATATTATGGTTCCTTAACATAGATATACCTTTATAAACATTTTAATTATTATAACTATTGTCATAATTAGTATTGAGATTTTAATAAATAAATTATTTTCTGCTTTTCTTTATTTTTTATACAAAATGAATTCCCGAAGTGACTACCAACGCTTTTAGACAATTTTGTTAAAAACGTTTATTGCTATTTTTTTTAGAAGGCGCATCCCTTTTTTTTTATAAAGCCTTGTATTTAAAAAAACAATTTTAAAAATAGCTTGTTTTTACTAGTAGAATTCATGTTATTTACACAATTATTATTTAATCAAACAAATACAATTACCATTAATAATTCTTATTAGAAAGAAAAAATGTTTACATCCATTAATAGATGGCGCTATATGCATCGATTTGTTGATTTGTGTACAGTTAAAAGCAAAAAATTAAACTCAAAAAATGTATTTAAAAAACCCTAATGGGACCATAATTTTACAATTTTACTAATGATTGAAAAATCTTGATTTGAAATCGCTTTGGATGAGATAATTGGCCCCTCAAATAAATAAATAAATAAATAAATATGTTGGGACATTATCACATCATCCATTTAGTTCCATGGTAAGCTCCGAGGTTTATGTTATGGATAGTTGATGCACTACACTTATGTATATAACTTAAGTCATATTCATATTATAAATATAAACACCCATGACTGGAGTACAAACATTCGTGTTCATCACATAAATGAATGCCCTCAGCGGAACTCGAACCCGCCACCGCTGGCACAGCAAGTAGGGTCACTACAATAGTACAAACTGAGACAAACGCGTCGTCATGTCATCATAATTCAAATGGTTATTTTCTTTTTTTTTAAATTTATGCAGCTAGTGAATAATGAATATATTTCATAGTACCTAGTAGTAGATAGTACCTACATTTTTATAAGATGACAATCGTTGAATTGTGACACGTGGCCGGTGGCATCTAGCCCCTACTGTGGCCAAGAAAAATAGCCCCCAGAATATTCAACATCAGGGCGATACTATTAAAGCAAATTGCAACGCTTGCTTGCTTTTTTTGCTTTACCATTTTTAATAGTATTTTTTTTAAATCAAAATTAAGTTTTTAATTTTTAGGATATATGTACCTATATTATTAACTTCATATATGCATGCATAACAAATTGATGTAGGTAACATTATTGAAATAATTTTTCTTTATTAAGATACCTTCGATCAACAGTAGTATTGTTGATCGAAGTAAGATACACACAATTTTATACTAAATAGTACAGTTGTGCCACCCATGCCATACAAATAAATTAAACAGTCTTTAGTTCTTTGTACTGAGAGCTCGTTGGGTTTTCTAAATAGGCGATAGTGGTGACAAAATGCAAACTGTCGATTTTTGAGCTGTATTTTTCATATTTTAGTACATTACGAATTTCGAAAAAAAAAATATACGAAAAAATGTGCAAATATAGAAAAAAATATTTTGCAAAAAATAAATCAATTTCGGTAATATAACTGTTTTTGACGGTGGTAAATAGTTCAAAAACTAAACAGCGCCATCTATGAATACACACTGTAAACTTATTTAAATGGTTGATTTTTTAATAATTCGTAAAATTACGAAAATTTGTTTTAAGATCGCATTATTTAATTTTTTTTTTAACTTGAGTAATTTGAAAATCAGAACATATTTTATATATTTTTTTCAATCATTTTTTTACACAAGCGTTAATAGCAAATCGATAGGTATCAATTCATCTATTGACATTTATTTGAACCTAATTTTAATTTGTTTTTGATGATATCCTATGAATAATTTAGAACAACTGCGCGAGCAACAATTACACATCCATACTAATATTATAAGCGTGAAAGTGTGTTTGTTTGTGTGTAGATTGTTGGAGGGCTGAAGAGTGACGACATAGGCTACTTTTTACCTCGGGAAATTATTTAATTCAGAAAAACAACTTATAATACAATCCAAAAAAATATTTATGATCAGAATTACTTGAAACTTGAAACTCTTCAATAAAATTAAATAAACACGTGTTTTATCATTTTTCAAAATTCACCCTATAAGGGGTAATATAGGTGATGAAAGTTTGTATGAAACTATTTTTTTAGAGATTTTTTTGTAGTTTTAGCGCGAGCGAAGCCGCGGTTTCTGCTAGTGTCTAATAAAATGCTGACGTGTTTTGTATTGTTTTTTAGACGTTCATTTGTTTGTTTTATATTTCAACGAGCGACTCATCCTCGCTTCGTTCGGATTCGTCTCTAGGTACCTACGTATTAACGGTTAAGGAATAGATAGACTATAATATATAACTACATAGGTCTACTACAATATACACAAAGCATCAATTTGAAATCATCCCCCATTTTATCTTGATTGTTCATAGACGCCGAAATATTCTTTATTTCTTACCAAAATTATAGGATACTAGCATTGCCCGCGGCTCCGCCCGCGTTCAGATGACCAAAAACTAAATTCTTAGGTGTTACATATTAGTATACTCTTACATTGCAGTTTTTGTATTTTTCCTCAGAAATAAGATATTTTCCCGCGGTAAAAAGTATCCTAGGATCGCGCGCTACATCGCCCGGTTTATATAGCTTGAGCAGGCGGTCGAGCGATGCGGGGCAGAGGGGATGGACTCGCCGTAGGCATCTCAATGCTCGCCAAGCATTAAAAATGTTTCGCTACTAATTACTTCTAACAACGATATCTCAAAAACTATTCATCTGATTGATTTAGTGTAAAGAGCAATTTTAATCTGCATTAAATGACTAAGCTAACTAAAATATTCATTTGGATAAGGATTAATACCGAACTAAAGAAAATAACTTTGAAAATAACGTAATGTTTTTAATTAAAAATGTTAACATAAAAGTGGTTATTGTAAGTCAACCGTAAGAGATAGAGATATGCTATCGCGGACTTTTTTGTAGCATTTTTATAGATTTTGAATTCTCTAGTACATTACTTAACTGTATCTTTGCTAGTTTACGCGGCGTTCGCGTGGAAAGTTCCCATTTGGCGAGATTTTTTGCGACCTCTTCAACATTTGTCGCCGTATTTCAGCTAATTTACATAAAAGCATAATAAATTATATACCTAAACCTTCCTCAAGAATTACTCTTTCTATTGTTGAAAACCGTATAAAAATCCGTTCAGTAGTTTTCGAGTTTATCGCGTACAGACAGACAGGAGGACAGACAGGAGGACAGAAAGACGCGGCCGGGGGACTTATTTTTATAATAAGTATAGATAATGATTTTTTTATCCTGTGTGAAGTGTTGTTTGTTCCCACTTTCAACCCTTATTTCACCTCTTTCTAATTTAATTTTTGCGACATAAAGTATCCTATGTCCTTCTCCAAGTTCCCATCCCTCTCTACGCCAAACTTCATCAAAAATTATTTTAGCGGCTTAGGCGTGAAGACATAACAAACAGACAGACTTACTTTCGCATATTTTTATTATAGGTATTTGTACAATCGGTCAATAATGAAAATAAGTTTTTTTTAGAAAGATTAACGTAGCTGAGTAAATAAAAATATATAATATTTTTGCACACAGAATCAATAAAAAGCATGCATAATAATGATGTAATAAGCACATACATACATACCTTCTCGAGACTAATATCGCGAAGATATTAATATTTATCACAATATGTTAGCTGAGTTGACATATTTCCTATATCCTATCAGGGGTGATATTTATGCGTACCCAAGTGATTGTTGAACACTGTTCAATTAGTTCTCAAGATCGAAATGAAGGGAAAACCTGCTGTTCTAGGCCTTCGCAGACAAATTAGGGTTAATTTTAATATTTTATACGTCTCAAGATGTGGACTTTCATATTCATAACACTTGGCAGCAAACAATCTGAATAAAATTAGCATCGAGATCGGCTTAGGGTTTGGCAGTGTGAGTGGGTTACTTACTTAAAGCTAAACTGACAGGTTCATTTATGAATTATTTATTAACTTCATTTATAAATAACGAGCTTTACTTATATAGTGTTTATATTTCACTTATAATTTGAACTGTTTAATTAAGGGGCTTAGATTTCACTGCAAATTAACTATAATTTTCAAATTTTTTCAAAGATTTATTTATTATTTTTATTTATTTATTTGATTTTTAGTTTCCGACGTTTCGTATGCTTTACAATCATGGTCATGGGAGAGATCCCGCAAAAATCTGACACTGTACATATTGAGTAGTATGTGTCAGTAGTACGTATCAGTAGCTTTATTGTTAACTAGCGACTTACCCTCGCTTCGCACGGGTAGGTCCTTGGCTTGCTTCCCTTTCCTTTAAAAATATTATGTTGTATGTATTTAATTGTATTGAAGAGCAATAATACCAAGTTTTAAGTAATTCTGATCTTAAATATTTTTTTGGGTTTCATTATAAACTTTTTATTTGAAGTGTTTTTTATGTCACA